ATAAACCGGTTAATTAGGGAGGACATGGAATGTGCTCCTCAACTTCAAAGGTGGCTGCTCTAAGAGGTAGACTGGCTTGGCGATTTTTAAATAATAAAAATTCTCTCTTGCACAATGTTTTGGCCTCTAAATACGGCAACAAAATTGAAGTTGGAAACAACAAAGGAAGAATCTCATCTTCATGGAAGATAATTACTGATGGTGGGAGAGGTCTAAATCCTATCTTAAGATGGAATGTTGCCAATGGCTCTTCTATTAACATCCTTGAAGATAAATGGATTTTAGATAGAAGTATCAACATGTGGCCAACATTTGTCATCCCCCAAGCTGAGGAGAATATAATGCTGGACAGATTTATCACAGAAAAAATATGGAATAAAGCAGAATTGTTGAAGTTATTTGGAGTTGAATTGGTGGATCTGATTTTACAAACCAATATAAAATCTTCTCTTATGGAAGATGAGCAGGAGCTGATTCTCCAGAACTCTGGAAAGACTATTTCAGGATTAATTATTGAATCCAAACAGCAAAATGTACAGGAATGCAGATTTCTGAAATGGTTAAGAAAGACTAGAATGATTCCTCAGGTGGAAATATTTTGCTAGAGGCTTTTTAAAAATGCAATTCCTACCTATCAGTTTCTAAAGCATAGAAGATTGCAAGAGAATGAAGTTTGCCCAAGATGTTTGGAGGACGTTGAGGATGTGGAGCATGTTATTTTCAAATGCAGCAATATGAAGGAGGTGATTATCCAGTTAAATAGATGGGGATTTCGCATTCCGGTTTTTCACAGCTTAGAAGAATCCTATTCTTGGATGGATTCAATGACAGAACACAATGGTATGACTCTCAATTTCTTTTGTAATGCTTTATACCATACTTGGAAAGCTAGGAACACACTTGTACATGGTGCAAATTATATTGCTGCAAATGCAGTAAGCTTTTCTTCTTATTCTAAATTGATATTTAACTCAAAATTAGAATTAAGGGATGCTAATCAGTCTTTTAGACTATTGAAATCTTGGTATCCCCCTCCACCCGAATGGTTAAAAATCAATGTAGATGCTTCTCTTGGATCTTCTCATAGAGCCAGTATAGGAGGAGTTATCTGTGACTGCAAAGGGAGGTTTCTATTGGATTTTGGCAATTCATGCATTCATTGGGATATTTTACATAGCTATCAAATCTTTGGAAGAAGTTATCAAAGATTGGATGTTCAAATACAAGGGAATTTTCATTGAGGGAGATAATTCAAATGTGATGAAGGATATTCAAAAAGCTCAGCTTCTAGACTTCAAGGGGATGGAAGTCTTTGAATTCTTCAAAGATTTCAATCATATCATCTTTAATTGTGTTGAGAGAGGTAGCAACAAGTTGGCGGACTTATGTGCTAACCTTGCTATGGTTAGTAGCTTTGTTTGGGATGATTTGAACTGTAATAAGATTCCTCCTTCCTTTATTAATTTGTTGAAGGAGGAATCAACCTTGTAGCTTCCTTTTACTTTTTAATGCATTTATTTCTATTTCAAAAAAAAAAACCAGATGTTTAACATCCGCTTTTTGCTTCCAAACAATTTTCTCATGAGCTTGTAGTTTATAAAGGCAATCTTTAGCCTCTCTCAATAAACAAAAATTAGTTTCAGATGGAAACAATTGACACCGAGCCTCATAAGAATTCAGGTTATCTTCCACAGTTAAAATGATGGAGAAAAGATTCTTAAAACATTATGATTCCACCATTTAAAACTTTCTTAAAACTTTTTAACTTAAACCAAAATCTTGTCATACCGAAAATAGAATTATCCGGATGCAAAGAGGCATGCTAATAATCCTTAACCAAGTCCATAAAAGAATCATGAAGAAACCACATATTTTGAAATCTAAATTGAGAAGGAAAATCCCTAGATCTAGTCTTAATTTTAATAAGAATATAAGAATGATTAGAGATGGTCCTGTTAAGATGCTCAACATTGGTAGAATCAAAAGAATTAAGCCAATAATCATTAAATAATATTTTCCATAAATGCCCACGATTCTAAGTGAAATTATTAACAAAGAAAACCAATATCAATTAAGTTGCAATCCATAATCATACTATTAAAATCCTTCATAGAATGATAGATTGGGAGAGACCCCCTATGCACTTAGGCGGGTTAGCTATAGTATTAAAATCCCCACAAATAAGCCAGGGAAGGTTGCAAATACTATGGAAGTGAATGATTTGATCCCATAAAATCTTTCATATATAACGAGAACAAATGAAACACAACATTGAAAATTAGAACTTTCAATATTACAATGCATAACTTGAGTAAAATCACCAATAATATCTACTCGAACAAAATCTTTTCAAAAAAATCCAAATTTTATTTGCCACATTCGACACAGCATATTTAAATCCCAAAAATTTACCAGTACTAAGTAACTTATCAGAGAAGATAAGAGGCTCAAGCAAGATAAAAATCGACACATTATAAATAAGGCATAAATTTTTAACTTTAAACTTAGAAGAAGGACAGCCAATGCCCCTAACATTCCAAATAAAACATTAGATATAAAAAAAATAAAGGTTAATGAGAGTATGAGAATGGGTGCTTCTAGGAGATTGTAAAATGAAATTCATTTACTTCCTACCTCTCCTACCACAACCCTTGGTATAACTAGTATCATTATCATCTCTAGCAAAACATTTAGCCAACATATAAATATCCTCCTTATTAGTAAAAGCATCACTAAGATAATGATCATTCAAATAAAGCTTACTGTCATTAATCATACCTGACTGCCCCCTTAAAAGAGGCTATTCTCCTTCCTCATTGAAAACACCTTCTTCCACAGTGATTTAATTGTTCATTTCATTACCACCTTTCTCCTTTACCACATCGATTTGGAAAATGTCCTGAATAACAGTTTGATCAATCTCCTCATCCAAACTAGTATTATCTAACGATCCAGCCTCCATGAGAAGCTTAACATAAAGGGAAACATTATTTAGATTAGTATCAATAATTTGATCATTCACATTTTGACAAACAATAGGTAAAGAAGAAATAGAGTTAATGTTAACTTCTTGCACTTGGTTCAAACCATCAATAATAGTAGGATTCGGCTTAACCTAAACAGAATCCATAACAAAAGATTCATTAATAGGATCTTTGCACTTGAGGAACCATACCCACATTTCCATCAGGATAAGGTGTAATAATATCCAGTTAAACAGAAGGTAAATCACTTTTATGCGATAGATTCAAAGACTCCTTTTTCTTTCGGAGGTGCGGATGTAACTTATAACACACATTTAAACCAAGTCCATGCATCTTACAATGAGAAAAAAAAATAGATAATTTTTTTAATTAATTTTTTTAAAAATAACCATTCAGTTCCGAACTAATCCAGACCTCATTGGGGTGCTTCTTCGATATATCCATTTCAACTAACACACGAGATACAGACAGCCGTGAAATGGACGTTGTAGCTTGATCAGTTTGAAACTGTCTACCAAAGATAGAAGCCAAACATAATAAGATTTTTGAGTTAAGAAAATGCAATCGAAGATTCAGAAAAGAAATCCACACATGGGCTATGGGAGATTCCTCATGCACATCAAAATAAGGTGTCCATTTAAGCAATCTCATTTGACAACCCTGAATGTAATAGGACCTTCTAGAGAAAATACAACTATAGTCCAAATCATTGCTTAGTTGAATCACGATATACCTGGAATCCAACAAACCAACATAAAACGAACAAGACAAATTCATATTCACAAAAAACTTATGAATGACATGTAGGTTTGGCGGGCAAAGCAAGAACTTGACGATAAGAGTGAGCGCAAAAGGAGCAGCCAGCATAGAAACCACAGAATCATAAAGCATTAATGCCGGACATCCTCTAAAAGAAGAGTGAACAAACAGAAGTTTGACGGAAGAAGATGACGAGCCAGACAAAACTTCCTTAAACTAACATGACTTACCATTCGGAAGCACAGCAGGCGGAAGGATAGATGATGATGGCATCATCATCTCTCGAAAACCACAAAATCCAAAGACTCAACGACGAAACCAAATGAAAACAAGACAAAAATGAAACCATCGAATCAAGACGAGCAAAAAAATCCACGAAAAACATGCCTGAAATGAAGTAAATAGAGACCGAGAATAAAAGCCCTATATCGCCTCAGAAATGCCACCGACCAGAGAGTAGAGAGTCGTTGCCAAAATTTTGATTAAGCACAAACTAGTTACCTCTTCCTAAGGTTATTGTTCAAATGAATATGAGGCTAAGTCTGCTAAAAAATCCTTTTACATCCTCTAATTTCCATTTTCAAAGTTGAACTTTTCTTCACCCTTTTCCTAAGTAGGGTGATTTTTGAGTTTGTGATAGTCAGAACTTAGATGTCCTTGTTTCATATATTCAAAGCAGATAGTATTAGAGAAAACTTTATAAAATTTGTCATTCTTTCCTTTGCTCCTATTATGGTAGTGTTTTTTATTTCTTTTAGAAAAAGAGATATCAATTTTAACACAATTCACAATATGAAAAGTAACATAATATTTAGTTTATTTCATATGCCACATTATATAGTCAATTAACTGTAAAAATATGGACACATGGATTTTTCAGAAATCAAATGTGATACAATTGAATAATGGTGGACGGATTATTGAATAACACTGTAGCATTTCTATTCCCAAATTCTGTCATCGATCTTTTCTTAGGGTTTTTAAACCACTTATTTAGAGAACACACTTAGATACGAATTGAAAGTTTACATTGTGTGTGTTAAACCACTTGAATTACAATATCACACAATAGGAGGGTGAATTGGTTTGTTAGAAATTTTCTTTTCAAAAATTCTTTTTGAAAAACTTAATACAAAATTCAAAACATAAGTTCAAAAAAAGATCTTGTAATTTGAAAGCTAATGATATGGAAAATCAAATACTATTTTTTATTTTGATTTTGTAGAAAAATAAATATGATTTTTTTTTTTTTTTGGAAACCCAAAGAGGGGCCGACATGTTAATATAGGAAAAAAATTACAAAGTCCTTAAAGGGACCTCGAGCTCATTAATGCTCAAAAGAGCTACAAAATTAAAACCAAAAAAATCCATGAGCTCAAGATCCCAACTAGGCAAAAGTACATTAATACCTAGATACATTCTACGGTGCACAAGTAAGAGCACCCAAAAAGAAGGAATACACCAAAAAATAGCTTTGAACTCCATCTTCCTATCCAAAAAATCATCACCACGAGTACCTGCACTAATAAAATCCTGCAAAAGAAGGTGAAGGCCACGAAAAAAATAGCACAAAAAATAATAATATCTAGCAAGGTGATAATTCCAAGAGATATGGTTGTTATATATAAAATAGGTAAACAGGGAACAATTATATAAGTCCAATCACCATCAGTAGAATAACACAAACAAACCACAACCTCCTCATAAATAAAGATAACAGGAACAGTATTAATGCAAGAAGTATTACCAACAGTGTACATCTCTAATAATCCAGGCTAATGATAATCCAAAAGGGAAAATAGCCACCTGGAAAGAATAGAGTACCAGAAACCCGAGAGATGGGAGAGCTAAAGCCATCTCCCCATAAACAGATTAACCAACCAGATATCCATGCTAAGGCTCCAGGTAAATGTCCGAGCAAGAAGACTATGGGGGAAAGTGCTGCAGGTAAGAGAAGCATAAAGGCTAGCAACCGAAATGAACCATGGGTCCCAGAATTGATCAAGGGAAAACAGCCCAGAACCACCCAAAAAACTCATCCAACAATAGCAATATAGCTCAATGTCATCCAAACAAAAACAAAGAAATAAAAGGATGAGATACTTCACTAAAGCATAAAATTCAACACTATCAATGCATCTAAAGCTACTCCAGGAAGGCAAATAAAAAGGACCATAAAGAATATTCCAGAAAGCCACCAACCACACGCACAGGCGACCCAAAAAATAGATAAAAATGGGCACCAATAAGCAGCACAAAAACCACTCCAGCAACTTATAGAATAACACATTCAGGAAGAAGTTAATCCAGCCAACATATAAAATAAGGCCCCCCAAGCAACAGCAGAAGGGACCAAACGGCCATAAAGCAGAACAACCAAACAGAACCCACTGCCACCAGAGAAAGAAAAACTCACAATCCAAACAATAGAAACACGAAGCGTGGAAAAAAGCACAGCCAACTCCACCAAAAACCAACACCCACATCACCATTAAGAGTTAACATGAGGTAAACCAATCTTATCCAATCTTAAGAGGCCTTTCATAAGAAAAGGAAGATTAGAAACAAAAAACTCGGCCATATAATCAAACCCATAGCCCCACCTGGTAATCAAATGAGCGCAAGCATTGCCCTCCTCAAGAAGAACATAAAAAGAGCAATTTAAAAGGCTCAATAAGTTCTTAATGTCCCTCCTTGTATAAAACAATGTAGAGGAATAAACAGTATCCTCCCTAGAATTAAAAGACTGATAGCAGTAATTAGAACCAACCTCCACCAAAATATTAATGTAATTAAGACTAAAACAAAGTCTTAAGCCATGAAGAATGGCATAGGTAGTAGCAAAATGGACATCATAATTAAGTAAAGGACTAGCAAAACCCAAAATATAATTACCATTAGTGTCCCTGATGACACCACCATAGCCCACAAAAGAGTTCATTCTAGCACCATCAACATTGAACTTAAGATAGTTGGAAGGAGACATCATCCCAGAAATACACCTAGAACTTTTATGAAGAATATCCACCTCCAAGTTAATACCTAAATCAACCGCAGTAGAGTAGTTTTTGAAATTCTTGACTGAAACTAACTTAGCAGAATAAAGTTCCACAACCTTTCCTTAATATTTTGAATAATTTTATGATGGTTCATAACCACCGCATTGAAACAGGAATTGTTCCTATCCAACCATAAATACCAAAGGATATGGGAAGGAATAACATTTCTGATATGGCCTTTGAATTTAACAAACCAACAGTTAAGCAAAGCATTAATAGAGCCCATAGCAGAAAAATAATTTAAATGAAAAATGTCATCAAAATAAGTCCAAACTTTGGTCGCGAAAGGACTAGAAACGAAAATATGATGCATATTGTCCACATAAAAACAACATTGGCATTTAGATGGAAGGATAAAGCCTCTTTTAATCAAATTATCATCCGTAGGAATAAGCTTATATAAAATTCCCCAGATAAAAATAGATACCTGTAAAAGGAATACTTTTATGCCATATCATATGGAAAAGCTTGGAACCCTCTTGTTTAAACCTAAAAGAATGCCAAGCATCATTTAGTCTAAAGCACCCATCTTTAGTCAAAGCACATAACTGAACATCATTCGAATTAGTATTCATAGGGATTTTCAAAATTTGCTGAATAATAAAATCAGGAAGAGCACTAAAAAGTTTCTTCAAATCCCATCCATTATTATTAAAAAAATAATTCACCTTCACACTAGAATTGGAAGAAGTATTAGTAATAGAATCAATAAATTGGCCCCCCAACCAACGATCCTGCCAAAAGAAAATATTACCACTACCAAGGCCCTAAAAGATAAAAGGCTTGACAACCCATTTAACAGAGCAAAAACGCTGCCAAACTTTAGAGTTACCTTTACTGCAACAACACATGGTGAGATGCTTCCCACAATATTTGTCAACCATAAAATTAGCCCAATGACTCAAATTAGCATGAAAATTGTGCCATAACTTGAAAGAGAAAGAATAGGCTAAATCATTCATAGACTTACACCCCCAAAGCCTCTTCATTCAAAGTCCCACAGCATTTATCCCACAAGAACAAGTGAATTTTAGAATTGCTACTAGTCTCTTTCCAAAAACTTATTTAAAATTCTATCAATCCTATTACACACAGCCTGAGTAGGAAGCAAAGTTTGAAAACTATAAATATTTATAGAACATAAAACACACTTGATAAGAATTAACCGACCTCCAAAGCTTAAGAAATTAGAGTCCCGAGTCGAAAGTCTATTCTGTACAACTGTAATTAAATCATCAAAAAGAAAAGATTTCTTTTTACCCTTATAAAGAGACACTCCAAGGTACTTTAAAAGAAAAAGACCATGACTGAAATCGGTTAAATTATTGATAACCACAATACACTGATTGGGAACTTTCTTAGGATAAATAAAACAACACTTATGTTTATTAAGAGCCAGACCACTCACCAATTCAAATTGGTCAAAGAATCTCAAAAGTCTACGATCTCATTCATCGAAGCATTCGTAAAAATAATAAAATCATCATCAAAATATAAGTGAGATATATTAAAACCACCTAACGTTCTAAAGTAGATGATAGGATACTTCTCAAAAAGATCAGTAAGGCCTCTAGAAAGGTACTCAGCCGCAATAATAAAGATAGCAGCAAAAATAGGATCCCACTGTCTTAGTCCATGAGACGCCTTAAAGAAACTCTGGCTCTTAACATTCACAATGATAGAAAAATAAGGGCTTTCAATGCAATTCTTAATAAGGTTAATAAAATTAGAATCAAAAGCAAACAAATTAATGATATTATAAATAAAATTCCAATCAATATTATCATACGTCTTTGCACTATCAAGTTTTAGAATCATATTACCACCTCTAACCTTAACATCTAAGTCTTGGTAAAACTCTTGAGCCAAAAGGATATTATTAGCAATAGCATGTCCTTTAACAAAGCAAATTTGAAATGTAGAAATAAGTTTAGGCAAAAAAATAGTTAACCAATTCATCAAAATTTTAGACATGATGAAATATAAAATAGAGAAGAAATGATCCAAGCTCCACTTGTAGTTGAGAAAAAAAATGACACATTACCAATGATAATAATGTAGAGCCTATAGCAGCAACCCAAGATAGAGCTAACAAGCTGCCCGGGCGGCATGAGTAGGATAGACCAGAAACAGCCCAGCTCTAAACGGGTCAACCTGAACCCGACCTATTTTTGTAAACGGTTCGACTTTTTCAACCCAGAACCGACCCGAGTGGGTTGCCGGGTTGACACGACCCGACCCAAATTTTTGAAATAAATCTCAAACCATCAAACGTCTAGGTTTCCGGTCGCTACTCTCGGAAAAGCAGCGACAGCAGGCTGGCAGGCTACAGCGGCAGCACACGACGCCGAGCCAGGAAGCCAGAGACGCAACTCGACAGCGTCGACGCAATGCTTCGGGTTTGGGACGTGCACCGCACAGGTGTGCACGTGCGAGGCTCGACGGTGACGCTTCGGGACTCACGCGACTTGACAGCTGACACTTCGAGCAGGGGCTCAGGGCACTCGATGCTTCGGACATGCTGGCAGCAGACCCGAGCAAAGGATTTTCGGGTCAATTTCGGATCATTTTTGGGTTTCTGGGTCAACCCAAACCCGACCCATTTTTGAAACGGGTCAACTTATTAAACTCGAATCCGACCCGTTTCACAAACGGGTCGACCCAAACCCAGATTTTTTCGGGTCGGGTTTCGGGTCGGGTCAAAAATTGACACCCCTATCCAACATGGCCAAAATAACACAACGCAAAAAGTTCATTAAGCAGTTAAATATCACAGAAATATTAACCCATATAGATAAATACCAAACAGGCAATTGAGAAGGCTATAGTATTCCAGAAATGTAGATGAAGCCAAAAGAATTCCAAGACTCAAGCTCGCAGAAAAACCAATATACTAGAGTAAAATCAAACAACAAAACCAACACAAATAGATAGGCACAGTAGTAGATCCAATTAGGCCAGCAACATAACGGGAAATCACCAAAAACCACAACTAATATAAGAGAAGCCAAAACGATCCAGCCTAATTAGACCTTTCATCCTTCGGGTAAAGACTCTCAACATACTCAGTAAAACCAATTAAATTACAACCAATACTAGCTAAATAATAAGCTACAACATTCCCTTCATGTAAAATAAACATGAAATTGAATATGAAATGAGAGAAAGCCAATGTTTTTTGTCTTTGATCATGTCAAAATTAGACGGATTGGAAATTGGATTATCCTCAATATATTGAATAAGAAGCATAGCATCAACTTCAATCCAATCATTAGTGATACCTAAAGAGATGCACAATTGAATGTCGTAATGAAGAGCTTTGAAATGTATTTAAAATCTTAGGTTATTTATGTAAAGAGAATTAGGGTTTGTTATTTGATAGACTAAATGAACTCTAAATGCTTTGAAATTTGAATCATACATTAAACAAGACTCAAAGCTTAAACTTTAGAAATTAGGACCCATTAAAGTCTTCCTAGGTATTTTAAATTTTCAATGTAAACACATGTATAACTTTAAATTTTCATTTATGACAATGAAGATATTGGATTTTAGTAAAATAAGTGGCAATCAAACCATGGAACACTAGTTTAACATACAACACACGTAATTACCTAAATCCCTCATTGATTTAAATTTATTATATTTTCAAACCCTAAGTTATTTTTCTGACCTATGATTTCAAAATTCTAATTCAAAGCACTTCAAGAGCTCAAACAAAATTGAGTAAAATTCTATATATAAGAAACATCCCCATAGAGCACGCATTTCAAATTGAGCTCAAGAAAAATTGAATTTAATTAATAATCTCAAAAATTCTGAGAGCTTATATTTGAAATTACTTTTTATACATTTAAAATTAAACCACCAAACCATAAGGATTTTATCACCAAAAACCACAACTAATATAAGAGAGGCCAAAACGATCCAGCCTAATTAGACCTTTCATCCTTCGGGTAAAGACTCTCAACATACTCTGTAAAACCAATTAAATTACAACCAATGCTAGCTAAATAATAAGCTACAACATTCCCTTCATGTAAAATAAACATGAAATTGAATATGAAATGAGAGAAAGCCAATGTTTTATGTTTTTTATCATGTAAAAATTAGACGGATTGGAAATTGGATTATCCTCAATATATTGAATAAGAAGCATAGCATCAACTTCAATCCAATCATCAGTGATACCTAAAGAGATGCACAATTGAATGTCGTAATGAAGAGCTTTGAAATTTATTTAAAATCTTAGGTGATTTATGTAAAGAGAATTAGGGTTTGTTATTTGATAGACTAAATGAACTCTAAATGCTTTGAAATTTGAATCGTACATTAAACAAGACTCAAAGCTTAAACTTTAGAAATTAGGACCCATTAAAGTCTTCCTGGGTATTTTAATAAAATTTTCAATGTAAACACATGTATACTTGTAAATTTTCATTTATGACAATCAATATATTGGATTTTAGTAAAATAAGTGGAAATCAAACCATGGAAAACTAGTTTAACATACAACACACGTAATTACCTAAATTCCTCATTGATTTAAATTTATTATATTTTCAAACCCTAAGTTATTTTCTGACCTATGATTTCAAAATTCTAATTCAAAGCCCTTCTAGAGCTTAAACAAAATTGAGTAAAATTATTTATATAAGAAACATCCCCATAGAGCACTCATTTCAAATTGAGCTCAAGAAAAATTGAATTTAATTAAATATCTCAAAAATTTTGAGAGCTTATATTTGAAATTACTTTTTACACATTTAAAATTAAACCACCAAACCATAAGGCTTTTATTCTACACCTCAAGGTAAATTTGTAAGGCCTAACATTATTGAATTTAGACAAGTGTGTGCGGAGTTATTTATTTTAAAATATTCAATGATATTTTTTGGATTTTCCTTAATTTATTACAAAGCTAGCTGAACTTTTCTACACGTCGATGGCTGATTTGGCTGGCCAATGATTGGTGGGACCACTAGATAACACTCTTTAATTCATAGCCATCTGATCTGAGATCCAAAAATTCTGGTTTAATAGTTCAAAACTATGAGTTGTTGAATGGATTGAGATTCAACTCAATCAAAACCACTAATTCTATTTAAAAATAATAGATGGTCCTAATTTTATATTCCTCCTCTTCCTAGGATTCTCAGCTACATAATCTATTTGGCCTAATCAGAAAATCCACAAAACCATTTTATTTGAAATAGATCCCGAAGGATCATCTACATAAAAAATTGCAATCTAACGGCTAAATTACCTTAGTCTGCAAGTATGTTTCACACCAGCAATCCTATGAAAATTGAGGCCCCATATTGGATATTATGTCTATCGGGTGGAAAATTGAGTTTTCAAGTTTGTCTGCACCTCAGGAATAATGTCCCTTTAGGTTGCAGAGTCTGGGAGGCACTAGATCAGGATTTGACTTTTGGCCAGAATGGGCTTATCGAAGTTAGCGTGAACTCATCGGAGAAAGGGTTTGG